ATGCCTTGAGATCGGTGGTGGGAAAACCATCTTTGTAATACGCTTTAATCGTATCGTAGGCATCCATGATGACTGCAATGAATAGCGACAGGACTACATATATGTACAGAGATATGAACGAGTACAAGTAGATCTGGCAGAACCACCACAGCCAGGTGGCCTTGCTCGAAAGCGTGGCGAACGTGGCGAACATATCATCACCGTTGATCAGCGCAAACAAACACTCCGATGTGGTAGCCAGCGATCGGAACTTCATGTGGTAGGGTCCCAAATCAACCAGCCGCAGAAGACGAACCCCGCATAGATCAACAAGGCGGCAATGAGGAAGCGTAGAATCTTCGGCGCCGCCTTCTTCAGCGTCAGTATCACAACGTTGTAGGTTTTGAAGAAGCCGAGGTAACGCAGCACCCCAAACCATACAAGCAGGTTGCCGATTCCCAGGAAAAGCGAACACGTATCCCATTGGTCCACGACCATGTACCTTCCCTCGATTTGCTCTTTCAGAGCTGATCCAATGATTAAAAGGACGTCATTAAATATTATCATGATGTACCTGTAAAAAAATATACATTACATTTAATTCCAAGGCGGTTGTATAAAACACCAAGTCAAAGACTCACCAAAAGTTAACAAACTCCAGACGGCCATCGAAGCTCAGCTCCTTGCCAAAATGCGATCGGAAAAAGTTGACGGTTGTACATCTCAGAAGGTAGCTCTCCACAATGCTCTTGTGCATAGAGCAAACGATAATGCGCAGGTTAGAAGTACGAATATATTGAGTACGCTCCGCAGCATGGAATCGAAATTGGCCTCCGATATAAAGTCTGTGGCCCCGTGGCACTTTAGTCGTGTCGCCTCCGCATCCAGTGAGAGCAGCATCTGCCCGTCGTGGTCTCGGTTGTTAAACATTATGGAAATGTCAAAACGAAAACAATCGGGGGCAGAAAGCGGGCCACCGTTGGCCTTGAAATTCACCGTCTTAATCTTAAATGTCAGCTGCGCGGAGACTAGTGATGCGAAATTGACCTCGACGTCGCGCTGTTTGAGATAATTCTCTACCCCAATGGTTGTAACGTTCGGCGGTAGGCTCACGCACACCTCGTCGACGTGGGGATCGAATATGTAGGACTCGTTGAAGCCGAAAATGGTGCCTTCTCTGTAATTCTGCAGGCACAGCTTCAAGGGCGGCATAGTGTTGTTGGGCGTGGGGTAGTCGTAAGGTCCAATCGATCGGCTCACATTGGCATAGCCATCGACGGCATACTGTACAGTGTCGAAAAACTCTGATTTTAGGTAAAGCGCAAAGGGACCCACCGCAGGCGGATAACTCTCCACCTCCCGGGAAGAGTCCCAGCCCCGCAGGAAGAGATGCGAGAAGGCAAATCGGTTATCACCCGTGTAGTTGATGTGGTTATACCGCGAGTGGGCAAAAAGGCACAGTTGCATCGTCACCAGAAAGATCTTTACAATCTGAAAATGTTAGGAGGTGAAAGGTATTGACTTATTTCAATGTGTTCATCTAACTTTTCATTACCCATTTTCATTCATTCATTAAACTTAGTTTAGAATACAAATTGTTTTGTTCCTATCTGCTTTTCCCCAAGCGTCTGACTCTCAGACAGTTCAGTGATCTAGAAAGCTTATCTATAAATAAATGTCAAATTTTGCTAGGGCATGCGTCAGACTATATTTATTGGGTATCTGCAGCTAAATCTGATTTGTTTTAGACCAATCATGGCAAGTAGTGGGAACTTTTTTTTATCAATTGCGGTTTAGTCATATAAAAAATTCACATGGAACTTCGGACTTAAAAAAAACCACCTTTTAATAAAACATTTATCTGAAATTGAATAACTTTTAACATTTGTACGAGTGCGCGTACACGCCGTTTCTGGTTATAAATTACGTGAAATTTCCTTCGCTTTATTACGTATTGTTCTAACTATAGTTGAACCTCCAAGATAAGGCATCGATAAGAACAGAGGGGGCTTAACAATGCAAGCAACAGTGTGATGACTATACATACTTTACATTCTCAAAAACTAGGCAAACAATTAAGCTTGGAGAAGGTTGATTAAAAGCGTCTGTAAGTTAAGCAAAATGCCTAAATAAGTGGTTCGGATGTGTCACCCGAGTTCCGCCCCCAAACCCCGCGTATCATGCGACATTAATTAAACGGCTTGATATCCAGATGTGAATCGCAAGAGAACCCGGATGTGAACTCACCTGCACGACGAACTTGTAGGGAAACTTGCGCTTTGCCTGCCACTTCTCGATGGGATTCATGAAGAAGAACTGCAGTTTCCGCCGCATTCTCTCCTCCTGGTAGGATGCGGCCGAGGATCCGGGAAACTCGGGCTGCTCCTCACGCCCGTCCACAGAGGCCGGAGCAGAGCCACTGCCACCGGACACGGGCATAGGCACCACGGGTGCCACGGGAGTGGACTGCATCTGCACCTGGCGACGCAGGATCCTGGTGTTTACGTACTCCTCCTCGCTCTCCGGAGACTGTTGCTGCTGCTGGGCAGCCTCGTAGCTGTCCGTACGGCGCTTCACGGCCGGAGCTGCCGGGGCTCCGGAGCCGTAGCTCTGCATCTCGATGTGCTCCTCCTTCGTCGCGAGGTCAATTCACCTGCGTTGTTGTTCTCCGTGCTATCTTTCCTTTGCCCGTCCGGTCGACATGCAAAAGAAAAGTCTGCACAGGCCAACAAGCAATCGGGGAGGGGAGGTAAATATGTAGTTGTTTGGCAATTAAGGCGCGACTTTTGCCAGCGAAATTAAATTAAATTCTGGTCGACCAAGAGAATTGCTTTGTTTTCAATAGAGGTGGGAGGTGGGGGTTTCGTTTTAACAAACGTAAGTAAACGTAACAAAACGTAAGTCTCGTTATCGATATTTTTCTGCAAACATCGATTACTTTCTCTGTCAAAGGCCTGTTCACACAGGCAAATATCACATCAACCGTATTTCCCTTCTTCCAGGTCTTGTAACGAAATCATTTGATTTTTAAGAAAACCCGTTGTTAAATGGGGCGTTTTTACGTTTTTACAACAATTACTTTGGGTTGCTATTCAGGTGTGTGTATACTATGCCGATTCATATTATACATACCTTATTGAGGTCCTACTCGTAACTGCCTATCTATTAAATGACATTGAGGCATAAAAAGCAAATCGAAAATAATTTTCCTAAAAATTGGCGACTTAAGGTTAACGCATTGGCTCCAAAGTTTATTACTTATACGCACTTTTAGCTTTGATCAAATACTTTATTTTTACATCGGTGGTTAAATATGTTTTAATGTCTTAAAAAACATAATTATCAACTTCATCGCTTTTTTAATTGACCGTCAAATTTAATTACTAATAGCTCGCCATAGCGGAAATCAGTTCTTTATTAGTTGCTGGAATACACCTAACTTTGCAAATAATAATTAATAAACCAACTCCGGTTTGCGAATATTATGCCTAAGGTCATTTCCTTCTGTACAACCGTAACTAAATTAATTTGTTTTGTATTATGGCTAATTTATTTCAGAACTATGGAGTCGTTAATGTGTCGTCTTTGCTTGAAAACTTTGAAAATATTGTTAAGACTCCAAATGTTTCGAAGAAGAGACAACAGAAGAAAATCAAATCAAATAGACCATGTCCCAGAAAAGACCTGTGGACCAGATCAAAGCGAGACTGATGTGGCGATCGAGGGTAGTGAAGATGAATGGCTGATGATTTCGACGGAGATGATTGTGACAACGACAAAAAACATGAACAAATGACAAATTCTACTATGATCGTCGGTTTAATTGTTAGAAATGCTCGAAGACCTATTCTACTAAATCAAAGCTGAAAAATCACTTTCGAGTCCACAAAGAAGGGAACATATTAGGTGTTCCCACTGCTCGAAAATAAAATTTCTTTTACATGTCTTAAGAGATATTTGCTAGCGCACACAGGTAAAATGACGTTCAAGTGTTTCCAATGCTCAAAAAGTTTCCCAACTAAGCAAAATATGGATAAACACTTGCAAACTTACGTGCGACCTTTCAAGTGTTCATATTTCCCAACAACTTTTATCAATGATTCACGTCTTTAGACACACTTGCAGTTCCACACAGAAGAAGGCCCATTTAAGTGTTCACTTTGCTTAAGCACATATGCCCAATACTCAAATCTTCAGGTTAATTTTCGAGAAACGACCGTTATCATCAAAACCTTAGGCGACACATGCTAACGGATGATGGAAAAGGATCTTTTCAGTGTTCCCACTGCCGGAAATCTACTTTGCAGGAACAAGTGGCTAATGACGATACAAGAATATAGTTCGTTACATACTTACTACAATAAACATGAATTACAATTTTTATACCCGTACGTAGAGTAAAAGGGATACTAGATTCGTCGGAAAGTATGTAACAGGCAGAAGGAAGCGTTTCCGACTCCATAAAGTATATATATTCTTGATCAGGATCACTAGCCGAGTCGATCTAGTCATGTCCGTCTGTCCGGATGAACGCTGTGATCTCGGAAACTATAAGAGCTAGGCTATTAAGATTTGGCGTGCAGATTCCTGAGCTTCTTACGCAGCGCAAGTTTCTTTTCAAAAAATGTTAACTGAAATGTATTGGTCCTGTCAATACCTATTGATTGATCCAAAAAAATTTGGCACGCCCACTCTAACGCCCAAAACGCTTAAATCTGTCTACCGCCGGTAGGTGGCGCATTTTAATCTCGCTTTGCTGCTTGCATATCTCCATTTTCCTTTGGTCCCTTTAGCTGAGTAACGGGTATCTGATAGTCGAGGTACTCGACTATAGCGTTCTTCCTTGTTTTTATTAAAAATATGTAAGAACGGTCACAAAAAAGTAATTTCAAAACGTATAAAACAAATTAACACATTTGGCAGGCTCTATATTTGAAATTCGATCCTCATGGAAGTCCCAAAATGCTCCCTGTACCCACTACTGAGAACCTGCATTATCCTAGCCAAGTGAAACAACGAGCTTTTAATAGTTTCATGTTTGTATTTATATATGGCAAATTTAACAAATTTTCTTTTAAAAATATACATACATACATACAGCTAAAACACCACGAATCGGGCGCCTTTCTCGCACTTCTTTGCTCACAATTCCATTATTCAATTAATTAAAATTATTCTTTTAGTTGTAGAGACTTAAACATTACGTACAATCACACGCACTTAACTACGTACTAGCAAAACACATTGATACATTACATTTTCCACTCTCTTTTGTTTTCGGGATATATAAATTAACTAGTTTCTCTTTTAAGCATAATTTGTTTGCTGCAGCGCACGTGGTATAGAAAGCAAAAAATTTCGATTACATTTACATAAAATATTTGTTTTTGATTCTCCATCGTCGTATAAATATGTGTGTGGTCGTGTGTGTATGTGTTACATTTACAAACGTACATTAAGATGTGTGGGTGTGTATTTTATGTAAAACAATAACTAGTCTGAAGACCTTGTGACTAGACGGTTTTTTCGGCTTCTCTAAAATGTATGTATGTAGAGTTATCAAATATATGCTACGTATGTATGATTTCCGCTTCAGCTTCTGCTCGCTTCTACTTGGGGATCGCAGGATTCCTTTTGAAATCGAATAAAAATAGTTTAGAATCCCAAGGGACATTTGAAATCCTGAAATGCCAAGGCGATCAAATATTTAAGAACAGGCTGGCAAATGTTTATAGGTGAAGGACCTCCAACACAGACACACAAATCGTTCGATTAATACCAACTACAATACATAAAACAAAGAAATAAGCCAAAAGACGATCGTTTCCTGCTCGACACGGTTCCTGAGTAACTTTCCACCTCTCTCGTTCGGCTCATCCAGCTCATCCTGGTCATTCTGCTCCTTCTTTCTTAGTTTCTACTCTGCCTCCTTGTTATCCCTACACTATACTTTCTCGATCCCGGGCTGCTGCCGACGCCGCCATGTCCGTGAATCCAGTTCGTGCTCCATGCACGTCTCTGGGCAGAATTCGCCTAGCCTCGCCGCGCACGCCGTTCCCCTTGAAGATGTTGGACATCCAGTTGGTCAGCTTGCTCCCACCAACCGGTCTGGCTCTATGCTGGTTGGAGGAGTTGCCGAGGAAGTCCAGGCCTCCGGGCTGGCGGTTATCTATATCGGCGGCATAGCTCACGCTGTTTCCACCATGGCCACCGGGTCCGTCCATGTGCTCTAGCGAATGCCAGCGTTTGTTGTGCGCCAGCATCTCCTCCGGCGGAACAGACAGCGATGCCTGACGTTGCAGCAGGGGCGACTCAAGATCATCCTCGATGTTCACTCCGCCGTTGCAGTTGTTGTTTAGATGCTTCGCACAGTTGCTGCCGCCTCCGCCTCGCACTCCTCCTACTCCTCCTCCTCCTGTAGGAACAATGCTGATCTGGGCATTGGGAAAACTGCCTGAATAGCGGAGGGCGGGCAGCTGTCCGTTGTCGTGGCGCATCAGCAAACCCAGCTCATCATCGTAGCCATCGGTGGCATCTACCGGATTGACGGACATCTCGTCATCCATATCCAGATGACCTGACTCCACCTCGCCGTTGGGATTCCCACTGATCAGGGAGACCCCGGTGTCCAACGATCGCGAATTGTTCTTGGACAACTTGGAGGGCGGCAGTTTGACCCTGTCGTGCCGTTTGCGCAGTTGCTGCATGGGCATGGGGTCCAGGGAGCGAGACTCCCGCAGCAGCATGTCCGCGGAGTCATCCTCGATATCTCCCAGTTGGGGCAACTGGGCAGCACTGATGATCCTGTGGGGCCGCACCATGGCCAACGGCTTGTGCAGCGCATTGGGCTGGCGCACTAGTCCAGATCCCGATCCTGACACGCCTCCCGATCCCCCATCCATATCACAGTTCGTTTCGTTTGTTTCGGAATGATTCAGCGTGCTGAGCGAATCCTGTGCGGATTCGAGAAGAGCTCCGCCCACAAGGAGCGCGGCGCCCAGACCATTGATAGAGGGTCGCTCCCCAACCCGATCTCGTTTGCTGACCATGCGCGGTGATTCCCTTACGGATCCCTGGAGACTATACGTGGACTCGCCGTCCACCGGCCTGGGTACAGTGCTCTGGCGCCTTGATCCGGTGCCGCAGAAGTGCATCGCTTGGATGCTCGGTTGCCGGGAGTCCGGATTTAGTTTGGGACTCTTTCGCGGCCGACTGAAGAGTGGCGGCGGCATGTCCATCATGTCCACCAGCTTCTTTTGTATCGCATTCTCGTTGGCTCCGGTGAGCCACCATGTGACCACCTCGCCCTTGCCCTTCATGTTGACTAGGCCACGTTTCTCGGTTATGTAGCCACCACCCAGTTTGTCCAGCGCCAGCTTGCACTTGTTGGAAATGTGAATCTTCAGCGCCTCGCCGTTACTCTCCATTCGAGATGCTGTGTTCACGGTGTCCCCAAAGAGGCAGTACCTCGGCATGGTGAGGCCAACCACGCCTGCCACCACCGGGCCCGTGTGCATCCCTATGCGCAGCTTCAGCGTTTCGTTTGGCCGATGTGCTATGCGATGCTGTTTCACCGCGTGAAGTAGCTCCAGGGCCATAGAAGCTATCTCGCCCGCGTGTCGATCACCGTTCTTAATTGGCAGACCCGAAACCTAGAATTGTGTGTAAAGTACGAATTAGCAATCTTTACTTAAAACCTCTTTTTTGCTCTTCTGGTTCGACCTATTTATTGTACTTACCACCATGTACGCATCTCCAATTGTTTCTACTTTGTAAACATCATAGCCGCGTATGATGCGATCGAACACTGTGTAGAGATCATTCAAAAAGTTCACCACTTGCAGCGGTGTGCTCTCCGCCGACATTGCAGTAAAACCAACAATGTCACTAAAATATATGGTGACCTGGAAAAATATAGCGGAGTTCAGTAAGTCATAACTAAGAAGTATTTTCTTTAAATTATTTATCATTTTTAAGAATTTTAGATTTGTTGTAATGGCTACTTGATGTTAGGGAGGTAGTTCCTCAGAGTATTTAGCCAAATGAACTACAATATTTGTAAAATCCATTTGTTCGGCTGCTTACGATATATTTAAAACGATTTCCTAAATAGATCCGTAAGAGTTTGTTGGCCCTGCTACATTACCCTTTGCCCTTTGGGGTTTGACTTACCAAATCATAGGACACCGGCTCAACGCCCTGCCCCATGGTCAATTTCTCGGCCACCGACTGCGGAAGCATGCGATGCAGCAGATCCTCCGTCTTTATCTTCTCCTCGCACAGGAGACGCGTACGCTCGGTGACAATGTCCTCCAAATTGTTGGCATACTTCTCCATCATTTCCATCATTTGGTCCATGATGTTTTTGGTCTTACCACCGCGCATCTTTTTTAAGCGGTTGCTAAACGAAAATACGTATAGAAAACGTAAATTTTCCTCTAAAGTGTAAAGGATAAAAATGATAAGCCCTTACCGTATGACACTGAATTCGGGTCGCTCTTCGGGATCTTCGGCCCAGCAGTCCCTGATGCAGGCCAGCACGTAATCCGGGCAGGACTCGGCCTCTATTATGGACTCCACTTCCGGCCGAAACGGGTCCTCTCCCTGGAGCGGTAGCTTCTTGACGTAGTCCACGATTTCCTTTGGTTCAAAGTTTATTTGTCCGAATGGACCCTTACGACTAAATATCTCGTACATGATGATGGCGAAGGCGTAGACATCGCCCTTCTGGCTGCCGTGGATATGATTCCGGAGCAGCTCAGGAGCACGCCAAAGTTGATCTGCAAATCGAAAATGTTTGATTAGCATTTGAAGACTTTAAGAAAAGAGTCTATTAAAATCTTACTTCGATAATGCTGATGCTCCCCGATGGACTCGTTCTCGGCACACTGGCGCAACTCGTGTAATCCGAAATCTGTCACCTGGAGCATCCAGCGCGAGGTGACCACACAGTTCGAGGACTTAAGATTGCCATGATAGACCAGTTGAGAATTGTGTATGTAGATCATTCCCTGGAAATAAATAAATCATGGTGTAAGTGCAAGATATTTATTATTAATTATAATATTTTTTAATATTTTTGATTTTGTAAACCGAAAAACTGTTCTAGGATAATATTACATACTGTGGTGGTCCGACTTTCCAACACATATGTACTCGATAAGAAAATTGATGAAATCGATATAATGTTAACAAAATGTTTTATATTTTTCCCAAGAACAGTATTCACTTCAAGCAAAAACTTCCATACAAAAAAAAAATTTGTAGGCTGTACTGACACAAAAGTTTTAAAGTTCCTCAAATAATATCTTCTAGTTTCCTATTATGTATTGTAATTCTGATAATTCCACTCACCTTAATGAGGTCGTGAATGAGTGAGGCAATAAATAGATCATCCAGCTTGATGTCCTCGTTTTCGATGATGTCGTAAAGACTGCCTTTGGCACAGTAATCGGTGACTAGAAGGATGCGTGTTGGCTCCACGCTGGCGCCAATGAAGCTGTTTATGTTGTCGTGGCGCAGTTCGCGCAGCAATCGCATCTCCTTCATGATCTCCCTGGAAATGTCTCGCTTCCGGGGGAACTTCAACTCCTTGATGCGGACCACAGCGCCACGCAGGCGGCCCGTGGAGGTTACAAACTGGTTGGTCCAGCGGGAACCATAGCTCTGGGCACTCATTAAACTGACCTGTGGATTGAGTTAGTTAATCACTTATAAAAGTCAGTTAAAAATCTCCACTTACCTTGCTGGGCGAGGAGACAATTTCGTTGCCGGAATAACCCTTTATATCGTTGGGGTCGATCTTCCAGAGTAATCCCTCAATCTCCAGCTCAATTTTCCACTTTCTATATATGCTCATGGTGATCACACCAGAGCAGAAGAGAAGCACGCCCAACACCACGGCAGCCACAGTAGACGTGTAGTGGGTGTCATCCTTTTTACAGAGCTCGTTGGCAAATCCGCACATCGGTTCGTCGGCGGGCTTTTCACCGCCCGATGGCCAGTCTATTGAGCCATTGATGAGCTTGTACTCCTGTTTTACACAAAAATCAAACAGGGTTTGATGAGTTGAGATGAAAGTTTTTGGGGCACGCAAGATAAGCGGGAACCAATTGAAAGAAAGGCAAACTAAAAAAGAGAAGACGACTCACTCACTGGATGTTCTTCGCCTTGGTGAAAGTACGCTACAGGAACCATGTGATAGTTGCAGGGCATGTTGTTGGAGTTATTCCACTTGTGGGGCTTGTAGGCCAGGACCGAAAAGTTACCTTCCGAGTCGCCATACTGATCGATCTTGATCTTGGATCCAGTGATGCCTTCGGGTAAAAATAAAAATATAATCAAAAATATTGTTCCAAGTGCAATAGTTCAATGTATAACCCACTCATATAAGTACGGTTTTTGATTATGGTATCGATCACTCGAGTCCCGTTGCTGGCCACTTCAAAGATCACATCGTCAGTCAAAACTCGAGTCTCCTCTCGCAGCATTTTGTCCACAGCCCAGGCATACAGCTTAACCGAATCGTACAGGTAGGCGGCATAGATCGATATAAACTGGGGAGGGATTTATGAATTTTTCGAGCAATACCCAAAGCTTTTGGTGCACTTACCTTGCTGAAATTACTTTCAACAAACAGCGGTGGAATCAATAAGTTAAACGGAGGCTTCGAGCTGTACTTTTGCACTTGTTCGGTAAACTGTATGTAGTCCTTTGTGGGGGGCGTGGAAGCCACAACGAGCAAACTGCGGGCCATTTGATTAAAGTTTTCCGTGCTGTGGCAAGACGACATTAGAGCTATTTGTTCCACTTTGCGCAAGTACTTTTCTGCCTCCCTGGAAATCAAAGAGATTTCAAAAACCTTTTCAAGTGATCTTACGGAATAAGTTACCTCTCGGAATAGACCATCATGTCGACAAAGATCACCATGTACTCGCCACGAGCAAACAGGCCAGCGGTCTCCATAGAGCTCATAAAGTCCACAAGACTATTGGCCGCCCCCAGGAATACGTAGATCCGTGTGCCGTTCATCGTGCTTTGTACTAACTGTTGAGGGAAACCATGAATAGATATTAATCAACTGACATTCCGCCAAACTTTAAGTAAAACCTCACCTGATACCAATACCCAGAGCGACAGCACTCCAGCATCTGCTCGCAGCATTTGGCACGATTATCGATAAACACCTGCTTGTGGTTTATGGTCATATTTCGTTTAAGAGCCTGATTCTTAAGCAGATCTGCCACCGGACCCCACACGTCCTCGTACAGAATGGAGAACTTGTTCCACGCATAATATCGCAGAAGGGCAAGCAGCGACTTAACGACCTGAAAAATACGAAATGTGCACAGAGCCATGTGAGTTGTGCATCAAGAAACATGTAAAAGGATTTAGAGGAATGTGCGGAGCCCGCATACATATCATTGTCTTTTGATTTCAGCTACAGCGTGGGGGAAAATATTAGAACCGCTAGTTAAATCCTGCCGTAAAAGTTAGCGGAAATGATAAAGGTGTCCGATAAAGTGGATGCTATCATATGTTCTGTTGAAGTCAATATGTTTTTAAGCTTTTATTTTAACTTTTAATATTTATTAAATATTAAATATGATTATCTAACTTAAAAAACGGCTATTTCTAATTTTTTTAAATAGTTAATATAGACATAATTTATCGTATACCTTTTAGGAATAAACTCATTGCTTAAATATGAAATAAAATTGCAATTGCATTTGGTTATAAGTTACTCCCTATCTAATATACGAAGTGTAACTGTATATTCCTTCTTGTTTTTTCTAAACAGATCCTTTTCCTGACCGCAATGGTAAATCATTGAATTTTCTCTTATCTTCGTATGCTCCGTCTGTCTTTTTAATTTTGTCGTTTGCTGTCACCGGTTTGAGGATAATCCAAGGCTAAGTAGCTGTCCCCGTCGAGTCACAAAGCCACAGCAGCAAGGCCGCCCAACCACGTCTGGGCCCACCCATCCACCTGTTGCCCACTGTGTTTGCTCACCTGCGTGTCTGGCGGTTCCGTGCGGGCGAAAGTCGGTATGGCGGATGCACGGTACTCTGCGCATTTCTATCGAAAAGGGAAGAAGGGAAGAACCGCCGTGAAACAAGAAATTTAGTTGCATGGAAAATGCCATGCGTGAAATTGTCTGCCGCCGAGAGAAGGCGTCATAAATCAGGCGCTTTAAATACATACATAGGAAATCATTGGAATGTTTCGACTCTGCGAGACGATGGCCTCCACATAGCACGGTCCTTCCGGTCCGAAAATGGTAGCGATGCCATCGCATATCATCTCGGTGATGGCTTTGGTGGCCAGTACCGTGTCCCCTTTGGTGTCATTCCAGCGCAGGTCCAGATACACATTTGGCAGCAGATTGGGATCTTTGTTGACCTGTGTCGGGAAGGAGTAATCAGAGTTTTCAATTTCGAGATTCCTTCCAGAGTCCTATCAGTGTTTTTTGGAAAACGAGCCCAGCTCTTGAGGGCATGACCAACTATCAGATAAATCTTAGGATGTTTGTGCAAGTAAAAGCGTTTTGAGAAATAATTATTCTATAATTTATTTGTATGTCGTATTGAATATATTAATTGAGAAAACTTCATAGTTAGGAACTGTTTGTGTACAATGTGTACTTTACACTCTGGCCATGAATATGATTTGAGCCCAAATAATCCTGAATTTAATTACAATGTTCTGATTAATTCTGTGTGCTTACCACTTTGGCAGGCCTGGTATTGACTGATTTATAGCTATGGCTAATTAGAAGCCAGTACTCACCTCATCCAGGGCCATAGTCAGGGCACCGGATATGGCCAGTCCCTGGCGCGTCTTGAGCTCGCCAGTGAGGGCCGTTAGGTAGCCGACTGTGAGGATGGTGCGATGATTGCTACAGTCGCGCACTGCCACCGACAGCAAGAGTAGTAGATTAAAGGGCCAACGCGTCATGGCCCCTTAGGCCGGGGCCGTTCAGCGCGACGCCTATGGGTCCCAACAGATTCTCACACTGCAATGGAGGAACAGAGATTACGGATCAGAGCAGAGCAGGAGCTGAGACCAAAACTAAGTGAGGATGCAATTGAAACTGCCAAGGACCCTTTTGCATAATAAAAATGCTTGTTTGACAAAGGCAAACACAAATAGAGAACGGCATTCTGAACGCATTTCAGACACTTGGCTTGATTCAGATGAAAGGGCTGCAAGGCAGAGAAGCAGGAAGCAGACCAACTGCCCAGTGCACAGAGAATAAACATAGGTTGCTTAAGGATTCCCAATAATATAATATTAAAATAGTAATAAAATAATAAAATGAACAGTTTTTATAACCATTGTTTAATGGACCGCTCGAAATTAAATTTAAACTATAATTATACAAAGGTGATATATATATGTGTGATAATAAAGTGATAAGAGTTTTTCCCTGTTCATCGATAAGCTGCAGCTACTCAGACCCTACCAGGGTGCGGAGTGAAAGGATGTTGGATGTGCTGCTGCAACAGGACGCCAAGCAAGTGCCCACGCAAGCAAATGTCAAATGTTGGAATGGCAAACTTCAATATTGTCGACTGCTCGGCAGCCAAAACGAGCGTAGGAATTTTTTAATTAGTCTTTTCAGTTCTTTGCCGAGAGTTAGGGGCAAATCACTGATAAGCAGCTTACTGGAGAGGCCTCTTTTATCCGGGCATTCCATCCGTCCACCCACATGGACCCCGTACTGCTGTGTGCACAGCTTGTTATTATTAATTATGCATGCGTTGATTTTGTCATTATGCAATTTCGTTTGAGGCATTAAATATATATCGCTGGCTATTCGTTTCTGGCATTTGTTTGTTATTATCCCTGCCCACGCAAACACAACCCCCAATCCCCCAATCCCGTGCTCCTGGCATTGTCCTGATTGTTTGCGCTGGAGTGAAAGCTTATTCCATGGGATTGGATTACGGACCTGTTCGGTCGGATGATGGCGTCGTTCATCCTTGTTTGTCTTTTTTTTAACGGGCTCACGTGTAAGTTTAATTAAAAGAATAAGAGAAATGCGAAAGCCACTATTAAACGGAACGGAGAGGTAGAATTTGATTATAATTCTGCCATTTTACTCAGTCAAATTTAAAGAAGTTGGCGCTTAACCATCTGTGATAAACAGAATGGGGGCAATTAATATATAACAACTAATATAAGTTTTTAAAATCGTAACTTTATTATACCCATAAAGTTTATATATTCTTGTCAATACTATCGATCTATGTCCATATATCTATCCGTCGAAAATGGTTTTAATCGGAAGAGGTTCCAAGTTAAATTGTTTAACTGAGAACTTGTATATAATAGTCGAGCCACCTACCAGACACACTGATACACTTAATTTAACTTAAAACACTTCAATAACCATTATGAAAAAATCAAATTAAGGACTAATTTTCTAGATGACAACGAGTTTTTTCATTAAACAATTAATACCTCACAAGAATTCCAAGAATTCCATGATAACCTAAACAAGATATCTGAAGACTTCTGCTTTTTTGGCAATTCAGCATGGGCTGGCAATCTTTCGAGCACCCTAATCTATCAACAACAATCGACGAAAAGCTAACGCCGCCATAAATTAGCATTTCCGACACACTTCACATAGCATGTTTGTTTCTTGAAGATGTTTATACTTCGCCTAAGTTGCAATTTAAAATTAGAACTACTTGGCCAGGCTGGCTAATTTTGGCCGCCACGTTAAATATTTGCTCGCCGTTTTGACACAATGCGAAACGCGTTTCCTAGAACACGGAAATAATGGAATTTAAATTCATTAGAGTGCGGTCAAAGGAAATCGCCTTTTCCAGAATGCAGATTAGCAGATCTGTGAGTGGCAGGAACAAAGTTATATAATATTTCTGGAAAAAATTACTCATTTCAGCATATTCTAAATTTTTTGAAGAATTTAAGTAAGTTCCACCATCGAATTTTTATTGATGAGTTGATAAGCTTATTGAATGACTTTTTAAATTTCTTGAAATGTAATAAAATTAAAATATTAAAAAACGTTTTTAAAAATCATATATTGAGTTCAAAGTTTATGACTCCGCTTTTAACATAATTTTAAGTTTCTCTTAACTAACTAATATACTAAATACCTTTTAAGAACTTACAATTAAACTACCTCGTTATTTATTTGGAATATCGTCGAAATGAAAATAGCAGTCGCTTTTCGAATTGCGTCAGATACGTAGTCCGTTAGATGATCAGATCCCCGTCGGTCTCAAATCCCACATCATGTTCGTTATTTGTCAGTTTTTGGTCTAGAAATTTTTTGTTTTTCCGATTCGAAAGTTTTCACCTTTTCCCGTCGAACACTCCTCCGGCAAAAGAAACTCAAAATTCAATGTTTGCTTGAAATCCAGAGCCCGTCCTTAGAGCGTACTGGAGTGGAGTGGCCGCCGAAGTAGCTGGTGCACCGAAAACCTGAGTTTCCGAGTCCGAGGATCTAGTGCTGCTTCCGGAGGGGGGTCCCCAGATCCAACTCCACATCCACACGTTCGCCTTGAAGCCGAGGGATCGTCGCACTCGTGAACTATGTGACAGCGGCACTTCGGGGACAGCGCCAGGGCCGGGATTACCACTGGGCCTCCGGAGCAACAGGAGCCGGAATCGCAACCTGAGATTACGACGCCGCAGGGCACAGGATCCGAGGAGCACAACCAAACCCCGGGCCACAAGGGACCCGTCGCCATGGCCATTCACGAGCAGATCGACAACCTCAATATCTGGTGGTTTCCGCGCGACTTCTGCCAGTCGCGCTTCGGCGAGTTCCAGCAGAGCGGCACCAACTCCTGTACCCTCATTTCGCTGATCCTGGCCGACAAGGTGGCCAAGGCGGAGAGGTTCTACCACCGGGTGTCCGATCTGCCAATGCGGGGATGGGAGCTCTTCGGGAACGCCATGAACGACGGGAACAACGTGTACCACAACGTGATCACGGCCAACACGCCCCAGGCCAGGAACCTCAACCTCAACATTCCGGATGCGATCGCGGCCATTCGGTCGCAGCACAAGATGAACTTCCGGCTGGAGGAGTGGTTCTACACGCACATGGAGGCCGATCCCAGCAGTCCGATGTACAACCGGAACGTGGCCGTGCAGCTGTCGCGGATCTTCCAGATCACGCTGCAGGTGTTCCAGCAGGCCAGCGTGCGGGACAACATGCCCTCGCACCTTTTCGCCGCCATCATCGCGGACAGTCGAACGGTGATGGTAACCTTCGATTTCCGGGCCTCGATCGTCGCCCTCTTCGACTCGCACCAACACGGGCGGGATGCGGGCGCCGTCTTCGCCCAGTGCACGCTGCAGAACATGGACGACCTGCTCTTCTGGTTCATCAGCATGCTGCACAACGTCTACTCCAGCCGGCCCTCGCTCTTCGAGATCTCCTTCCTCAGCTCGCAGCCCGGTGTGGCCAAGCGCATCCCGCCGGCCATCAAAAAGATCGCAGGAGACCTAAAGAAGCCGGTCAAGATGAACATTCCCAGGCCTTCGCATTGATCACTATGGCAGACGGCAAACGACCAGTTCACATCCCACCAGCCTAGGCTCGAAGCAACGGACCATTCAAGACGTAAATCTCAAGTTTCCTATAGCCGAATTCGTGTATTTGGGCCTTCAGAAATTAAATTCAAAATTTTCAGTTGACCATCAACTAATAAATAACGAACACCAATTTTATGTTTCGAGGATGAGTAGTACCGATAGATGGTAGATAATTAAGACATTATTATACCCGTTACTCGTAGAGTAGAAGGATACATTAGATTCGTAGGAAAGTATGTAACAGGTAGATGAAAGCGTTTCCATCCCTATGAAAGATATATGTTCTTGTTCAAGTCACTGTCCATCTGTTCGTATGAACGCATAGACCTCGGAAACTATAAAAGCAACAAAGATGGGACTAACCATGCAGATTCTAGAGATTCCGGCTCAGCGCAAGTTTCTTTCATCAAACCACTTTAGCTAAGTAAAGGGTATCTGATAAGCGGAGGATATCGATGTTAGCGATCTCTTCTGTTTAATATTAAAGGCACACCCTCAAATCTTTCTTTCCATTGCAATTTTTTTTAATTTCCGTTTATAATTAGTTTTCTTTGAAGCATCAAGAAAATGCGGTTCTGCAAGTCACTTAATCAACATTCATTTAATAGGCCCCGCATTTTCATTCTGAACTCATTTTTGAAATTCCAATACGCAGTTTCTATTTTAACCGCACTTTTGAGCAGCTGGTGAAGTATACATGTGAACGTAACAAAAATTAAACTTCTAATTTATGCCGAACTAAGTAATGACACTAAACATTATTTAATTGTGAACACGTATTTACCTTTCCTTGTATGCGGATGTGTGCGTTTTTGTTGATATTTGTTTATTTATTATTTCTGTTACCTAATTACACTTGAGTAAACAATTAATTTAAAAGACTCGAACATCTGCGTGGGGGATTTTTTCCTTGTTGTCGGCTATTTGTTTTTGGCCTCCCTGCCAACCGAAAATTGAGTGGCTTTAAGCAACAACAGAGCAGCACAAGAGTTAAAGTTGAACTTTGTAACGGGAATTGAGTGTGTAGTGCGCGTGTGGCTCGCCGTATTTTTCTCGACTTCTAATCAAAATGAGTTAAATAAACACATAACGTAACCTATTAAGAACTTAGTACGTGACAACAATTTAAATATTTATAAAGTAAACAGAGAGGCGCAGAGCGAGAAGCGGAGAGGGAGAGTCTAAAAATAGAATCACATATCAAGAAAATATGAGAAAACAAATCGAAACCGAGGCGCAAGACGTGATAAAACGTTTAACGTTAAATGAGAAAAGCACGCCCAGAGAAGTCAAAACAGAGAAATAGAGAAAATGAGAGAACTATAGAGAGAGGGAAAGAGTAATGCAACCGAGTTACAATCAACAAACAACAGCTACAAGTTGTGTAATATAAAAATATCGCGTACCCGCAACGTGGGCCGTCTTTCATATGATGCTCTCTCTCTTTCCGTTGCTCTCCGTCTTTCTCTCCCTCTCTTTCCTCTCCCTCTCTCTTTCTCGCAGCGCAACAAGTTGCAGTGGGATGTTTGTGTTTTTTTCGGGCGGGGAGCCGCCTTTATTGCACTTTTCAGCCGAAGTTGTTTGCTGCTGCACGTGTGTATACACATACCTACTTACAAATTGTCTGGCCGTCTAAAAATAAAACCTGCATACTAAAAATAGAAACCAGACGCAAACACGACAATCCATTGGCCAGTGGATAAACCAACACGACATTACATACTTCAACAAACATACATCACCAGGGGTTCCCCGGGGGGGAGCAGTGATTTTCGAGGAACACGAAATCTGGGATCTGAGATCTGGGGGTTTCCCAGGGGGGGAATGAACAAAAACAAAATCCACGCACCGTCACATTGTGCGTGCCTCAGTCGCCGACAATTGTCATCGACATCCACATCATTGACTCAGTGTGCCGGGTTTAAAGTACTACATCACACGCCGTAGCGCCACAGCACTACCAAACCAACCATATACCAACGACCCATTCTCAGTTTCACTTCCGATTCAATCTCCACGTCTCTTGTATTTATGTGTTTGCTGAACTGTTTGGGACTCTAAGTTTTATTTCTATTTCGACTAAAAATAGATTGGTTTAGAACTTAACGGGGAAGGTTTTGATATAAAAGAAAGAACAAGTTCCCAAAAGTGGCGAAAGTTTTGGCGGATGATTGGTTAAGTAATTTCCTGAATTAAGTTTTCATCTTTGCCTAAGTAGGGAACAGTCTACAGTAACTTTCAGTTAGTATCAAAAACGATGGAGTAAACTTTGATTTGATATACTATATATCTAGTGAATCCCAGGAATATAAAGTGTAGCTTGCTTTTCAGCGACCGTCAATGCACTTGTGCATGTTGTCCATAAAAAACATCTTGTATTGACTATACCTCACATTTGAAATATGAATTGAAACTAAGAACGCAAGCATTTCTAATCTTCACTTTCTCAAGGAAGTTCGCTCAAGTACTGTGCTATAAAAACATTTCCCTTTTATCCTTAGAAACCATATTACTCACATATCAAAGCCATTTCAATTGTACGATTTTCGAGAAGCCAAGCAATTGCTACTTACTTTTTACATTTAAAAAATATTTCAGATTAAACAATCACCACCAGATAAATATTCTATTATATTTAAAAGTAAGGCTTTGAGCAATTTTAAATTCCCTTTTCAGATTCTATTTATTTTCAATTTGCGAGTATTTGTTATTCGTCTCGGTGACAATCAGTTCAAGGACATTCCCACACATGCAGGGACGGCCCTTTTAAATCCTCTTGCTGCTATCAATCATCAACAAGTTAACCCCGCAAAAGGGCACACCAACAAAACCCTTGGCCCAGAAACTGTCACACAATGAAACATTATCTCACCACACAACACCCACACGTGGCGGGTCTCGGGAAAAGGTTCAAAGGCCCCTATAAATGGGCTTAGCAGGGCCTGTTCGTCCTTAACTGGCCCCCCATTAGTTAGATTATTGGGCCCAAATGTGCAATTTGATTTCATCGTCCTATGAGGCGCTTTCGGCGAGAAAGAAAATGTGTGCGGATAATTTCTAATTAGAAGTGGGGGAAAGGACTCCGATTCGGTAATGAGAAATGACGGAGAAGCCTTCAAAGTTTACGCTTCACCGAGTGAGTGAATGTGGAATTGGGGCAGGACGGGACGGAGCGGGGCCCTGTCAAACGGATATGACAAATGAATGGCCATCTTGGCCTGGTCATAGGTGCTCCACTGCCGCAAGGACACTCCGTGCAACCGAGGAGGAGTGGCATATCACGGAGGACCGATGGGAAACCGACAGCTCATGTCAGGCGAGCTGATTGCTTGCCTATGGCCAAGAATAAAGAGACAGGGATAGGGGAGGGCTATTGGATATTCTTACACAATAACACGTGTACTTCCCAGAATGATATTCCAAATATAACTTGTGCATTAACCTAATATTGCTGGTCTCATTTGGATTTTGCTTGTTAGGACCAAATGAAGTACCAACATGTAGGTAATCAATATTAATATTTAGTGGTCCAACTGCTATATGACATTTACGGAAGGCAATAGTCCTATAAGTATCATCCTTATAACGTTAATTGCTACCTTTTCTACTTATCCTTTTTTTTACTTACACCGACCTAATGTGAGTAGGTTACTTTAATCTTTTGGTTCTGCTTTCCTGAAGTGCCCGGATGATGTACCCGGAAAAATCAGTTGAATACATTTCATTAAAACGTTTCTGCCGTTATATCGCCCTCTGCAATCAAGCTACATCCCAAACGAACTGCAGACTGTTTGTTCTTTCTTTCTTTCTTCTTACTTTTCCCAACACTTTTCCACCTTTTCCTCCAGCCCCTTACGATCCGTGATTCGAAATGAAGTCAGGCATCAATAGCCAAATACAACCAGCAACAATTTGTTAAATGAAAGTGGAAAACAAATCTTCAACTATGACAATTTTGTGGGAAGCAAACAGACAAAAATCCAAATGATGCAAAAACGTCAATTTGTCCTTTGAAGAAAATAAATTTGAAAAACCGCTTTAGTTGAGACTTTAGACTACGAAATACTCACTGACTTCAGATACTTCAAAGACGTTGCGAAATTTTAGGTATCGGCTTAACTTTGATCTATTTGAAAGATATGGTTTTTAATTGACGAACTTATAAACTTTAACTATAAGAATAAATTTTAAACTTATTATATACATATATAGAATTTTAAGATCCAGTTTTTGCATTTCTAAAATGAAGATTTAAAACAAGAAAGAACGCTATAGTCGAGTACCTCGACTATCAGATACCCGTTACTCAGCTATATGGAGATATGCAAGCAGCAAAGCGAGATTAAAATGCGCCACCTACCGGCGGTATACAGATTTAAGCGTTATGGGCGTTAGAGTGGGCGTGGCAAATGTTTTTTTGGATCAATCGATAGGTATCGACGAGACCAATACATTTCAGTTAAAATTTTTTATCTAGCATGAAAATTGTGGGCGTCACAGGTTTTCGCGGTTTGTGGGCGTTAAAGTGGGCGTGGCAAACTTTTTTTTGGGTCAATCGATAGGTATTGATGAGAACAATACATTTCAGTTAAAATTTTTATTCTAGCATCAAAACTGTAGGAGCCACAGTTTTGGGCGGTTTGTGGGCGTTAGAGTGGGCGTGGCACTGTGCTGAAACAAACTTGCGCTGCGCAGGAATCTCAGGAATCTGCGTGCCTAATCCCAGTATTGTAACTCTCATAGTTTCCGAGATCTCAGCGTTCATACGGACAGACGGACAGACGGACATGGCTAGATCGACTCGGCTAGTGATCCTGATCAAGAATATATATACTTTGTGGGGTCGGAAACGCTTCCTTCTGCCTGTTACATACTTTCCGACGAATCTAGTATACCCTTTTACTCTACGAGTAACGGGTATAATATGCTTAATAAAATTGTTGGTGACACTGATAATCGTTTTACAGTTCTTTTTGTACTGCCTGCCTTCACCCATTTCATCACACCCTTCTGATCCACCAGATATGCAGTAGGAGTATTATACCCTTGTTGATGTCATTGCCGAGATAATGGAAAAAAATATATGGTAATCGAAAAATTTAACTTTAAACAAGAGTGAGATGGAAAAAACATAGTT